TAGTATTCTTACATTATTTCAATATAAGACAAAAAGTTTTTTTTTTGTAATGGGTTAGAAGAGAAGATTTCTAGAAGAACATTTTATTAGGAAGATTTATAATACGTCTTATTTCAGAAGATTTATTGAAATTTTGCGACATTTCGGTCGTTTTTCTATTGCAGGTTTTATTCGATACTTAAACTACCACGAGAATAAACGCTCATGGCCTTTCTATTACGAAAATTTCAAATCATTTCTTCAAAGTAGAACTTCTATTCTAGACTAGTTTTTTGATAACATTTATCTAGAAAATCAATAGTTTTTGAAAAACTCCTCTGATATTGAAAACGGCGTTCTTAGCAAATAAGTACACAAGAAAAAACGAAGTTTTTGCTAAGAAAAATACTTTTATACTTAAAGCATACCAAAAGTTCTGGCTGCGGCGTTTAAAGGATCTTGTCGGATAAGAGGACCTATTGAGAAATAAACAACCAAATATCCAATATTGTAGAGCTTTTTAAGACGCGTCGAATAGTATATAGTAAATTCTGTTTTCATAAGACTTTAAAGAACCTAGAGTCAATTTACTGATAGGCGACTACACATCCGAGCATGACAGATTACTGAATATTGTGGTCCTTAGTATTTGTAAAATATTTTTTCTCACGTACGATTTTGTAGAGTTTTTAACGGACTACACCCTCCTATATGTAGCATGTTCGATCATCTTGTCAGTATGGGTATGGGTACGTAGTCGTCTATCAGTAAATTGCCTCTAGGTCCTTCAAAGTCCTTTGAAAATACGATTTACTATATACCATTCGACATGCTTCAAAAATCTCTACAATATGGTATATTTGGTTTTTTATTTCTCAATAAGTTCCCGTATTCGAAAAGATCCTTTAAACGTCGTGGCCAGAATTTTCTAAAATTTGTTGAATTCTCGAAAAATGGCTTTTGGAAAATCTATGCATTTCTAGTACGTCTCGCAAAATTTTTCTTAAGGATGACTTTATTCTGGGAGAATTTAATTCTCGGAAACTACAAGAATGAATACAATATTTGTTTTTTTGTATAAAACTGTTTGATCTGACAATTCTGATATCAAATGAATTTTGTGCTGTTTTCATTTTTATAAAACTAAAAATTTTTATATTTGATAGTTACATGGTTTGAATATATTTGATTTGAAAAATCCACTTAAACCAACACCAATTCCAACAAAATCAGGATGTTGGCATAAGGCGGATACTTCTTTTGAAGATACAAATATTCAAATAAATTCTCCTTTTCAATCAAGAAATACACCTGAACATAGATTTAGTATTTTATATCCAGGTATTTAAAGTTTGTTTTTTTTTGAAAAAAAAGGATCAATTTCGATTTATTTATTTATATAGATCCAACGAATAAAAATATAAAATATTATTTTAAATTAATATTTTCATGGATATGTGGTGTTGAACATATAGATGATCGTAATAATCAAACAAATGCCAATGAAATAATACCACCATTAATAACAGAAAATTTATTTTGGAAACGTATTTGTAATTTAAATGGCGTAATAATTTTAGGTTTTTGTGCTTTTCTTTGGGCATTTTTTACTGATTATCGTATTGATAAAATGTATAAAAATCCCTAAAAATTAAAAAGCTACGAACATTATCAAGTGAAAAGAATAATACAGGACAAAAATATTTATTTTATTGTTTGCTTTTACTATAAACAAAATCTATTAAGATAATTATCTAATTATATAAAATTCTTAAATTAGAATCGACATAATTTTAAAAAGATTTTCACATTTTCTGATCAATGTACAAGATCGGTCGTTATCTTCTTAGGATTTTCACAACGTCGAAATCCTGGACAGATCGTTAAAGCTGTTTGTCTCGGATTACCTATCCGATAGCATACTGACTAAGTTGTGAGATACACTTACAATCGGGACTAGTATGTGGTTAGTCAATGTGTATGGGAAGCTTAAGCGATTGAGTGCAAGAACTCTGCGTCAAATCGGCCTTGTGTTCAGAGCTACAGCTAGAATTAGTTGTAGGGAAGATATCGAGATAATGAGGCTCTAGCTAGGCAAAGATAACACACAGTAATTCCACATCTGGATTCTGCCTAAAACAGAAGATACGACTGAAAGTTTAACTTGAGAAGAAAACTCCAAACATGGAGTTTGATAAGATGCTTGATCGTCCACACGATCTTCTTTTTTCCTGAGAAGTTCTAAACCAATCTATTGACGAAATACAGACAAATGGCGATCTCGTCAGAATAGATCACTTGGTTCCAATTCGTCGCTTTGTGACCTTCAACTCATTTCAAACAATTCTCTTGATGATCGTTGGTGAGCTATCGCTTCGACAAAGGTCAACCGTATTTCGTTCAAGCACCGTCGTAACCTTTTCTTGTTGACCGTGACTTGGTTCCTTTTTGTCCATAAGTAGGTCTCATGGGCTTCCAAATACTCTGAAAATTTCAGCCTAAAAGAATATGCTCTTGTTGAGATATTGAATATCCAAAAACGATCATGTGTTACAAGGAAAGATAAGAAAGCTCAATATTTTCAATATTCGATATTTCAAGAGCAATACATCCTTTCAGATTATAATCTTTAGCTTATCTGCATGTCCACGAGATCTACTTATGGGTAAAATATAAGGTCAAAGTTTTTTAATCCGATATCCTCAAAAATACCTTGTTAGACATTAAAAATAATTCAGTAAAATTATAACAACTTGGGAAGAGCAGCACATGGGAAATGAACCCTTGTAAGTTTCTATTACCTATTAATAGGTAAAGTATCAGTTCGATTGGGATGTCACACTTGAGGACCTTCCCTCATAACTTCGATCTTTCTGAAATACTTCACTCTCCATTTTCAATAGTCAATTGACTTATTTAACCGTATACTAATTTATCTTAGTATTCACCATAATGATAACACATGTATTTCTGTACTTCAATGTTGATAGTTTTAATAAGCAGAAAATTTAATCATTTGATGAATTCGTGTTATACATACACCAAAATGATGATAACGAAATAGAATAAAGATAGGACAATTATAAAATATATGTGATATTTGAAAAAGTGAATACATAAAAAGAAGAAATCAAGAATCTGAAATTACAAATAAAACATATGTACCTTGATTAACCCTTTTATATCCGTAGTTTCGTTCATTTTTTGATAAATAAAAAATTTTTTTCCGTAAAAACAATGATATGAATAGAGGTGTGAGCCATCATCGCCGTCAATGGTCATCAAATTTTTAAGATATATCAGCTTGCGCAGTCGTTGCTCAAAATAGTTGCTGAAGATTCAAATTTTAAACTGTCTCGAAATGAAAATTTTTAAAAAATTCATCGAAAATTTCAGCTGCCGTCGATCATAATCCATCGGCTTACACCTCTAGCTGTATCACAACAATAAATACTAGAGTTTCAAGAACGTTCGATCTCCGACATCATTTTTAAAGGATGTCTTTGTCTAAGTTTTTCATCAGTACGTTCTCTATTGTCATTTACTTCTTTTTCTATTTCAAAAGAAAACCTCCTCATCAATGAAGACATTCGATTAAAACTAGAAGAAAGGTGAAATTGTAGTTATATTAAAAGTATGAACTCATCTGTAATGAATAATAATTTTTTTCAATGCATAATAATTAATAGATCTTTCAGTCGAAACTATGTGCATCATATGAGTTTTAAATTTCCTAAAAAAGATTTCCGACTCTTAGCTAATTGCTACGTAGATACTGCAAATCTATGATGGCTTTTAAATAAATGTCGTAGTCCTCCTCGGAAATACTAAGAAAATTGATATTCGAATTTCGATTTGAAATTTTATACAGATACAAGCCTTAACGAAATTAGTTTTATTGTGAAAGTTCCAGCGTTTTTGATTTGTTTCTATTCTGATATAAGGAACATCAAATCCTCTGATTTATATGAGCAATATAAAAGACAGACTTTTGCCATAGCTCTATTTTAAGATAGGGATAACAACAAGAACTAATTCTCATTAAGGACTGTCTCTGTGTAAAGTCTCAGATCAATTTTCCTCATGTTTCTGAGGAGGATCACGACTCTCAATGAGTCATTTATGATAGATTTTGATCACAATGAGTCTTTTTTTTAATTATTTAATAAAGAACAACAATTTGATAGTTTTATTGTTTTTTTTTGTCCTAATTAATAATAACTTGAAAATATTTACTTGATTTAATTTCTTTGCATAAGACTTTAGTAATAAATATTAATTCTTTTAAATCAACAAAAATAATTTACTATTTAGTGGCCAATGACTTCGTATTGCCATACAAAGTATTACAAATATATTTCACATTTTGTCTAATAATCACAAAAAAACAAACGAAATACGTTAATACCATCGGATCCTATCGAAGAAATCCAACAGTTGGATCTCTCGTAGCAATGGCTCAGTTCCTAAAATCTCACAAGGTGTAATGAAATTTTTGAACCACTTAGAGAATGATTCGGTCTCGTAATTTATTAGCTAAGTTGTTGATTTTAGTCAAACAAAGGAATCATTATATGATCTACTGGTAACAAATTTTTATTTCAAAACTTTCGTTCAAAGAAATAGAGGTTGTGGAAAAGTGTCAATCAGTCTCCTCTGGATGCTGCCACTAATTTCTCGTACTAGTTCAATTCTTCTTGTCTGTATATTGAATAAAATCAAAACTAGAATGTAGCGTCCTCTATTATTTTTTATTTCTAATGGTTATATTATATTAACATGTGAGCAGAAAAAAAAAACTTGCATTAGTGTGTTAAAATAACTCATGTTTATTTAGATTTTAAATATCCTAGTCTTTTATGTTTTTTTTTTTCTTACATCCCAAAAAGATAGGATATTCAATATTATTTTTTTCTCTGTTCTTTTATTCAAGACTTGTTGGATCTTTAAATTATTTAATAATATAAGATCCTTGTGTCTATCCCATTCCAATCGTCCCTATATCGGTTGTAATAGACAAGATGACATCATCTGATGATGATTATGGTCAACCATCAAATAATAATAATAATAATAATAATAATAATATAAGTAATCAACATAACAATTATAATAGACGTATGAATAACAATAGTAATAATCCTTATTCATCAACATCAAGTATTGAAATACGTTTATTAATGACTTCTCGTGATGCTGGAGCAGTTATTGGTTTGTATTTCTTTATGATAGAAAATATTTTTTTTGTATTTAAATATTATTTTCTTTTAGGTAAAGGTGGTTTATCAATACAAAAACTTCGTGCTGATCATCCACGTACAATAATTCAAGTACCTGATTGTGCATCTCCTGAACGTGTTTTAATTATAAGTGGTGAACAAGAACAATGTTTTGATGCTTTACGTCAGATCATTCCATGTTTAATTGATAGTTCTCGTCTTTCATCATTTAATCGAAGACGTAATATTGTAAATTCTGAACAAATACAATCAAATAATAATATTGAACAATCAACATCTGAAATACGTATGCTTGTTCATCAAATATATTGTGGAGCTATTATTGGTAAAGGTGGACAACATGTTAAAGAATTAAGACAAACATATAATCTAGATATTAAAGTATTTTCACAATGTTGTCCATTAAGTCATGAAAGAGTTATTTCATTACGTGGAAAAGCTGAAGATATTATTGAATGTATTAAAGTTAGTATAGAAAAAAAAATAAAAATAAACAAAAGATTGTAGAAAAAAATTTCAATTTATATTTTTCTTAGAACATCTATAATTTAATGGCCACATCATCACAACAACCAAGAGGTTCACCATTAATTCAATATGATCCGCATAATTTTGATGTTTATGCTGTTAATGAATATGGTTAGATTTTTTTTTTGTTTTATATTTGAAAATAAAATACAAGTTGTCTTTTTTTTTTAATTATCTAGGTGGTTTTCAACCTCCGGGTGGTGTTGATGTTCGTTCTGGATATAATCCACGAGGCGTATATCCACCAAGTGGATCACGTGGTGGTATGTATCCCATTCAACCTTTGCCTCCTCTTGTTGATGTCCCTTACGGTGGTGGACCAGGTTTAGGTACTCGCTACGCCAATACTGCATTGTTCACTTCGACACGTGTAAGTCATCTTTGTCCTTGAATTTCTTTTTTTTTTTCTTTTTTTTTCTTTTTTTTTTGTTTTTTTTTTTCTTATTTTCTATTTCATAGGTAACGTTACCGAATGAACTTGTGGGAGCTGTAATTGGACCACGTGGTACAAAAATTCAACAAATACGTCAAATAACAAATGCAAATATAATTATTGATGATCAACCAATTCCTAGTGGTAATGGTGGTAGTGGTGATAGAATAATAACAATTGAAGGAGCACCAGAACAAATTAGTCGTGCACAAGCACTTCTTCAACAAGCTGTTCGTCAATCTGGTCTTTGGCGACCTTAATTTTCTTTTTTTTTTCGATCGATAGCACGGCATTACATTCATTTACCATATGTACTACATTTTTAATTTACATTGCTTCGTTTTCTTTTTATTTAAGTTCGTATTGCTTTTTCTCTTCTTCTTTTGTTCTTTTTTTTTTATTGCATTCATGTATACAGTAGGCTGATGATTGATCGACATGTTATTTATCATACATGCTTTTTTTGTTTTATTCTTTTCTCTCGTTTTTATATAGAATTTCATTCAGATCTGTTTATTTCTACACTGATGATAACCGCAAAGGATATGATAGTTTTACATTTAGAAAATAATGATGGAATATATATATATATATATGATATTATTTAATAACTAATTTAGTATCGAAATTATGAATATTCGAGTATCATCACCTATTATATGCATGTATATTTTTTGGCATACAGTATATTACAAGATTAAAAAAAAAAATTATTTCTGTATTTTGTTAATATTATATGTTGTCTGTATTCATTGAAGATATGTTGTCGGATTTATTACTAATTGCTTTGTTTTTGTTTTTTTTTTTGTTTTCTTTTTGAAATATTCATTTATTATCTACATGAAAAATTAAGTGTTATTTCATGAAGAAATTTGTTTAACTATGAAAATCATGAATGCAATAGTGACAATCATTCATAGGTTTGTCGGTATAAATTAATAGTCATTCGGTCGATAACCGATGTTCTTAAGGTATTTCTTCATCTAATCAGATTTTTTTTCTATATTTTTTAATAGAATTTTACTCTAAAAAAATGCAATTAAAACAAAGAAAAACAATCATGATGGAATACGATTGATTAACAAAGAAACGTTTCTAAGTATTATATCTTATTACTATATGTTTTTAGCAGAATATCGTGATCACATTTAGGAAAATTGAGTTCTGAATTTCGATTTGAAACTTTGCACAGAGAGAAGTCTTAACGAGAATAGTTTATTGCGAAAAATTTCAGATTTTTCGATTGCTCTGATTCTAAAATAAGAACATCGAAACTTATTGTTGTATATGAGCGGCGTGAAAAAAATTAGGTTTTACTATAGATGTATCTTAGGGTAGAAGGAATCAAAAGATGACGCAATTTATTATGCTCTATTTATGCTATAACAGTGATCTTTTTTAGTTGAAATCTCGGGCTTCTAAAAAGGTTTTTGTCATCGGGTAACGCGGTTACATAAAAAAAAGCCTACTGCTGACAAAACTCTAATTTCTTGGAAAAGTATTTCTTCAAATGAAATGCTTCTAGAGTCAATTTTGTGCAGCATTGAACGAGCGTTTAAGTGTTAAAATAGATTTTCACTAGACTAATATTTGTTCAGATAAAAAAATTCAAAAAACAAACGTAACACTGTTACACAGTTTTTCTTTTTCAACACATTAACTAGATAGTAAATTAAAAATTGTACGCAGTTGTCCTGAGTGACGAAAGTCAAAAATAAATAGACCATTTTGTAGAGAATTAAATTCTACATCGAATGATATGTCACTTAGTATTTTTGGAAAACATTTTTTGGTTAAAAAATTCAAAGTCGAAATCTGATTGACTAGAAAAACCAAGAAGGGAAATATTGATTCATACCAAGTATTGATGGAGTAATTATAGGTTGATTGGCAATCATCATCGTTACATTACTAATAGAAATGTAATTAACACTTGTTTTTAATTAGGACCAAGGTATTTTGATTCGATGCACTAACGTTTAATTAATATGGATATGCATATTTCTACAAAATATTCAATATAACTTTCACATATCGTGAATAAAAATATTTCAATATAGGAAATCTTATATGAAATATTTTGATTCAAATCATTTGAATGTAAAAACTAAAGAAAAATCAAAAAAATACGTTGTCGTAATTATACATACATAGGTAGTGCAATATTTAAATGAGAGCATTTCTTTTTAGCTCAAAATCTTCGAATTTCATCATTAAAGTTTATCTTTTTTTTCAAAACACTTTGTCAGAAGTTCGAAATTCAATCATAATAACAAAAGAAAATATTGTAAATCAACAATTTCTATTAGGTTTATCAAGTATAATTCAAGAAAAAAACAAAAAATATCAACTATGTATGTATTGATGTTGTTTTCTTCTATTATATTTAAATAGAGTTGATTTATATAATGTGCATTAATCATAAAAATAAAAACAACATCAATATGTCACCTTGAAAATACGATTCAAATAAATAT